TTAATTTCGGCTCAGGTCATGATCTCATGGTTTGTGAGATTGAGCCCTGCATCGGGCTCTACGCTGACAGTGTGGAGCCTGCTTGGGATTGTCTCTCTGCATCTCTGTCTGCATATCTCTCCCCCCACCCCCGACTCTCAAAACAAATAAATAAACTTTAAAAAAAGGAAAAAAATAAATGCCTTTCTGTAAGCCATAAATTGACAAATGATCATAAGGCGTGTTGACCAGTTGGAGGCAACATGAGGCTGACCTAGAGGGGAAGAGATATAGAACTTGGTCTTGTATGAGTCCTTTACTTCTAGGCAGAGGTTGCAAAACTGACTTGGTAACAGTGGCAGACACCAGAGAAGCTGCTAGACCAGTGGGACAGTGTTCGCTCAGAAGGTCATAAGCTCAACCAACCCAAAAAAATGTTGGCCTCCCTGGTTTTTGGAAGAAATATGTACTATGTAAGTATAGCTGACTCCTGTGTTGGGCAAACCCCCAAATCACAATCGCTTAATATCCTGACTGGAGACTAATTTGCCACTCACATAAAAGGAGGTGTTGCTTGCACTTTAAAAAATCAAGGGGCGCCTGGGTGGCGCAGTCGGTTAAGCGTCCGACTTCAGCCAGGTCACGATCTCGCGGTCCGGGAGTTCGAGCCCCGCGTCAGGCTCTGGGCTGATGGCTCGGAGCCTGGAGCCTGTTTCCGATTCTGTGTCTCCCTCTCTCTCTGCCCCTCCCCCGTTCATGCTCTGTCTCTCTCTGTCCCAAAAATAAATAAACGTTAAAAAAAAAAAAAAACTTTTTTAAAAGCCAAACTGTTTACTGGAAACAAACATAGGGAAACCAAGTACCTCCATGGCCACAAGTCTTTGAACATTCTGTCCAAGCTGTCCACCCTGAGAGCTGACAGTTGACTACACATTCCACCAGGCAGTGAATGCTCATTCTCTGGGGCTTCTCCAAGTTACGCTGTAGATGGAAATAAAGTATGATTTTATTGAAGAATCATATCACTGTCAAAATAAATCACTATCCTTTCATGGGAAAGACTATTCTATGCCCTTTATGCTACAATAATAATCTTTCTACATCTTTGCAGGGAAAAATATCCTCTCTTATAGAAATTGGTGGGAGTCACAGAAAATGGTTGTCCTTACATCACAAATGAGAAATATATTGGCCCAAATTTATTTTTATGAGATCCACAACTCTAGAATAGACCTGCAATTAGTGTTCTGGGAGAGTAGGCAGTTAGATGCCACAGAAATCTGTCCTTGATTAGCAAACACAGAATCAGGAGGATGCCTCAGTTTTAAATTCAGGTACCTTGCACTTCTGGATGGGTCAACAGCACATAGAGAGCTCAAAATTAACAGCTATCTAGGCTAAAAAAATAATAAGGATAAAAACAAAATCAACAACTATGCTCATTAAAAAGATCAATTAGGTTGAAAACATAACCATACTCTTAATCATGGGAAAAGTTGGTGCTTTGGTTTATTTCTCTCTTGTCGTCTCTGAAACCAGCATCTAGGCAAAATCTATTGCTTTTTGTAATGGCCAAGCTAGAAGAGATCTTAGTGAGAGAATAAATCATCTAAGAAACACTGAAAGAATAATGAAAAATTCCACTACAGAAATCATACACCATGTGCTTATTTAGGAAAACTCTGACATTGAACACATGTTAAATGTTAGCAATGTCCACACCAAATTAAAATTAATGATTTTAGCATGATTACGTGCTGCATGGGCAAAAGAGAAATTACCATATAGGATCTATGATCCATTTGAGATGTATGGATATTCCAGATAGGTTAATAGTTTGGGACTTCTTTAATATTCTTTAAACATTTATTTAACATACATACATATTTGGAAACTGATTTTTCTATTAATGAATAGTTCATATCTTACTTTGTATCAAAAGAAAAAAATTATTACACATACCAAATGTAACATTTTCAACTTATTTGGAGTTCCTGCAGATTGGCCATTTATTTTTCCTGCAGACTTCTACAGGGGCAGATTCAATGAAATGTTAAAATAAATCGCTGACACATGGTGGACAGAACTTTGCCCCATATTGGCCAGTTTTACAGTTTCACCAAATGGGATGTTCATCAGATGGCCTGGTCTCAAAGTGGTTGTGTGTCTATGGCTATACTGTTAGTTAAGAGAGCCATGTTTTAATACTTGATAGGATAATACTTAAGTCAGGATAGGTGAGCAAAGTTTGGTTTTGATTCTAATTTCACTTGTGGACTCCACCTATCTTAGGAGAAATGGTACCAATTTTCATTAGCCAATTTTTGAGGGAAGCTTCTGTGGAAATATGAGTTCACTGACCCTGTGTTTTCAATTTCCAAAGTTTGGAATTTTCAATTCTAAAAACTATGTTGGTGATTCTTCTAGTGTGACAGCATATGGTCATTCTTATTTCTATTAAACTGTCCCCATAGTGATTTTCACTTTGATGTTGGGGAGGGAATGCAACTTACTTGGAACAGCTTTGACCACAGCATTTGTCCAAACTATACAGTTCATCACAGGAAAAAAAAGGAACAGTAACATTACAAAAATTCAGAACTCACTAATTGGCACTTTGTAGGGAGGCATTTTAACTTAGATTGAGAAGAAAAGTACAACTGTGCTATTAATCTAGCAAGGCTTTGCTAAGCAAATTAGGAGTATATTCTAATAGCAAGTGTCAGTGTTCGTCTTATGTGCAAGGCACAGTGTTTATCAGACATGCAAATGAATCACCTGCCTAATACAGAATCATATCTAAATATTATAGTCACCTGATATGAATAGTTTGTTAGCATGTACATCTATATAAGTTCTGGAAGTAATACAAATAATTGTTTAATCAACCCATTTCCTCAGTGCAAAATAACCTTTCCTGGTCATTTTGACTAAGTTCAAACTAGTGAGGTATAACTGTGCTATACCAGTTACAACTGAGCCCTAGTTTGGCAAGAAGGAATCAGAGTTTGTCATTTATACCAAGTGTCAAGACGGTAGACTAATATTACAAACAAACAAACAAACAACAACAACAAAAAAACAAACCAAAACCAAAACCAACAAAAAAGCCAAAGCCCCTAGCGTGAGATACAAATACAAACCAATTACCTGCTCACACTGGTCCACGCCAACTGGCTTGCCATCGCTGCGTACACAGCTCAGAAGGCGGGTCCTGATACCTTGTCCGCAGGTGGCATTTTCATTCAGCTGGCATGTGCTCCACTCTACAGGTATAGGATCACCACACTGAGTTTCAGAATTATGGTCATGTGAGCAAAATACAACAAACCTTTGATTATTTGCATTGGTGAGGCAGGATAGCATATACATAATCCCAAAATAACTTCCAGGTGGCTTCAAAAAGCCATGCAATTCTTTTACTGAAAAACAAGTAAACAACCAAATCAAAGTGAGCTACCTTCCTAAGTTTGCTTTCTAAAAGTAAAAAGACAGATGGTTTGTTGGAGACCGTGTCACTGTTGTGCTGAAGAGGAAAGGAAAGACACCAACAAGGATGGTAAAGGAAAACTAGTTACGAATCATCTGTTTGCTGGGGGATAACTGATAGAAAAGGAACCCAGAGATGATGCTATTGCTTAATGTAACCCGAAACTATTTTCAAGGAACAAATCCAGTCATCTAAACCATTTGGTAAAGTTGGTACAGTGGAGCTTAAGTGTCTTAAGACACTTGCCTGAGAAAGGAAAGAGAGGTACCTCAGAACTACATGAATGTTACAGAAAATCTAATTTTTTTCAAATTATTGTCTCAGGAGAGAAGGTTTTATTTATTCATTCATTCATTTATTTAAATTTTTTTTAATTATTTTTGAGAGAGAGAGGCAGAGTGTGAACAGCGGAGGGGCAGAGAGAGGGGGAGACACAGAATCCGAAGCAAGCTCCAGGCACTGAGCTGTCAGCACAGAACCCAATGCAGGGCTCGAACCCACAAACTGTCAGATCATGACCTGAGCCGAAGTCAGATGCTCAACCGACTGAGCCACCCAGGTGCCCCCAGGAGAGAAGGTTTTAAAGATCTGGATAGTTGCATTGCAAACTAGACAACTGGGAGTCTGAATGAATTATGCCATAATTAATCTGATTCTTAAAAAAAACAAAAACAAAAACAAAAACCAACTCTTACTTTTGGTGTGATTAGAAAGAATGGTCTTTGATGATATACATCAAGAACCTCTTTAAGGACACTTCCCATATTTGATAAATGACCTACGTATGAGTTTAACGGGAATAGTAAACCAATGCATAGTATAATCAGTATTTTAAAGACATGCTCTTCCAGGAAAGCAAATTTCACTTATTTCTGAAAAATTACTATAAAAATCAAGGATCTGAAGCACCTTTAACTAAAGAAAGAGGGCAAATACATTAAGTCATCTTTCACCAATAAAGACAATCAGACTGCCCCACCCCACCCCCCAGAATTCATTATGAAGTTTTCTATGTGAGAAATATCATAGTGCCACTATGACCTCAGTGTGGAATTTGTTTCAGAAGAGACTATTACTTTGCCTCGGCAGGCCTGTGGTAGTTTGGCTGTCAGTACTGAATTCAGTGCCGAGACTTAACATGGTTCCACATTTTGTGGCATTTTGCATGTCTGCTCCTTTTGGGAATGGCAGGCAGCAAATCAATGTAACTAAACAGTCTGTGGTATGAGACACAGGAGAATCCTGAGCAGTGGCTGAAAAATGAGGCGGAGGGATTCCCAGTGCCTCTAAAGTATCCCTGTCCACTCAGAAGTACAATTTATCCTATTGAGACCCACTGAGCAAGTACACCACAAGCTTGAATTTCTTGAAATAAAAAAGGCCATGAAAGAGCTAAATTCTATGACAGCATGACTACGTTCTTCCCTAAGTGGTAAATTATCCCCTGCTGTGTATTTTTGTTATTGTGGTTATCATGGCTTAATTCAGCTCTTTTCTGAAACTTTGCCAAGTCTTTTGAAGCATCTTGGAATTTGGAGATTCCAGGTGGCCTTGCTGAAGCTACATGCCAAGTGCGGGCATTTCTTTCTGTGAAGGGACACTGGAAACGTCAAAGCCTCGGCCTTGCGTGCAATACACTCTCACATTCTACTGTCAGTCCTGAATCCCAAGAATGAAGACACACACACACACACGCACGCACACACACACACATTCTCCCATTAGTCAATGTTCAGGGAAAATAGAATGGCTGTGGGTTTCAACCGTACCTGTTAGATTGTACTGGAACTGGAAGCAATTTTCATTGAGGAGGCAAGGCCGCACTTGCGAGTCTTCAGCACATGACCTTGAATTCAGTGAGGGCCTTAGCAGGTGGCGGGTTCTTCTCTGTGTTGAGTGGGGATCACAGGACTGTGAAAATCAAAGAGCAGACAGAGTTAGAATGGACCCATAGTTAGGTGGCAAATCATGTATGGTTATCTGTGTACATGTAAGTACTTGTGTAACAACTACAGGGAAGAGACAACTGAGAGTGTTAAATATAATACTGAGAAAATAAAACTATTTTGTAATTCACTATAAATTGGTATTTTGTTTGTTTTTTTGCACCTAACAACTCCTTTTCTAGGTTATGGTGAAGGCTACATTTCTGTCTTCCACGTGGAATTAGGCACATAGAGACTATTTTCTTCAATTAAACACACTCTGTACTCTCAAATAGCCTGCCACATAGCAAGAGATAAGTGCATTCTTGAATGTTTCAATGGATGAGAAAAGGAAGACAATGTCCCCGTGCCCTCAGATAGCCCAACAGAAATAACCATGCAGAAAATCTTAATGAGAAAATAATTGTTAAGACCCTGGAACGGGTATATACAGAGAATTATAAAATCAAGATTGCCAATACACCAGAACTTCCCTCATATTTGGGAGGCTGTCTGATCCACAGGGGATGAGCCACTACACGTCATATTGCCCTTTAAACAAAATGGATGTAAAAATGTGACCTCCTGCGAATATCACTTTGCCCATGGGACCTCTTACAGCCTCAAGTCATATAATGCCCTTGAGTCAGTAAACCCGCCTGCCACATTTCATCCAACTTTTCTAGCCATGGTGAACCTTCAAGTTCCACCTACTGGAATCATCTTTCAACTGTCTAAAATCCTATCCTTTCCCTTCAGAACACCAATCAAGGCTTCATCATTGATACTCTTTCAATAAAGATAAATTATTTTCCTCCTCCCTGAGCAAATTTCCCCCCATGCTCAGGAATTACTCTATAGGATTTGTTTCTGAACATATATACATACACATATACTTCTATACTACACCTGTCCTTATAATAATGCCATGATTTCTTTATTCCCTTGGCTCCTTCCTTTCTTTATAAACTGCTTGAAGCCATGATACGTTATGGTTTCTACTTCCCATATCAATCTCTAAAAATCTTGTTCAATAAATACCATTAAATATGGTCACAACGACACAATTCAAACCCCCAAATCTGAAGAGGCACATAGATGCCTAAACCACAAGGGAAATAAAAGTCTCTGAATTAAGGTTACCAAATCATCATTTCTATATTGGATGTTTTAATTATTTTTATTCCTTTTACTTTTTCAGATATTATAGCAAGAACACAACCTATAAACTGAATCTTGGCTATTAATCAAAATGATAAGGTTGGATTACACTGAAATATGCAGAAAAATGATACAAAATTTTATTTTTACTTATTTTTAATTTTTTTTTAAGGTTTATTTTTGAGAGACAGAGCACGAGTGGGTGGGGGGAGGGAGGGGAGAGACAGAGGGAAACACAGAATCCGAAGCAGGCTCCAGGCTCTGAGCTGTCAACACAGAGCCCGATGCAGGGCTCTAATTCACAAGCTATGAGATCATGACCTGAGCCAAAGTCAGATACTTAACTGACTGAGCCCCCCAGGCACCCCACTTTTCTTCTAATTTTAAATGTTTGGAGCCATTGAAACACACTTTTTTATCCATGTAACTTTCTAGTTGGATGATCTGTCAATACTTTTAAACTAATTTTACATTTTAATTATATCGAATTATCTCTAAATGATAAAGAAGGGCCATCAAAACCAGGTAATTATACTTAATTATCAGCAAGTGAATCCCATGATAAATGTTTACCAATAATTTATTACTAGTTCACCAATTAATTTGATTGTTTGTTCTCATAAGAAGGAATAAGAAGTTAAATGATTTGCCAGTGAAAGAAAAATGAAGGTATCTAGGTAGATACCCCTGATTAGTGTTTTACCGATTTTCTACCTTCTAAAAAAATCAATGTTGGAACCAAATGAATAAGTGTTAGAACTTATGTACCTGTTTAGTCTATACAATCAAATAAAGCAAACGAGATAATAACACACACACAAATTATGTCACCTTGAACAATTTACTTATGTATGATAGATCTTTGCTTATTTAAACTTGGGCGAGAAAAGTGGATAGGGGCATGGTGTAATTTGATGATATTTAAGAATTTTCTCCCTCAGAGCTCACAGTCTATCAATCTTTAGTTAGGTGGGATGTGGTTTTGAAATATTCAGTTAAGCCTAACCCATAATTCATAATCATGTAGACTTCCATAATTACTTTCTAGAAATTAATATATTGAAAACCAACACTGCGTCTAACTCTCCTACTAATTCTCTATCCATAGAAACAGTCAAAAGGGAAAGTATGGGTGAGGGGAATCCACAAACACAATCCAACCTAACCTTAGGCAATATTTTTATGTTCCACTTAAAAAGAAAAACTGCCCTGGCACTGCTAAGAAGTGATAGGTACGTTAGTGTTCTCTCCTTATTTCTTTCTATTAGCTATTTGTAGGAAGGTTATGAAATAATGACTTAGTCACAAGGGAGCTGGAAGTAGGGCTCAGAAAAAAAGAATGGTAAAGGAGGCTTATGTCTGGATGATTTCTTTATTGGACCAAGACTCCTCAAATACAAACCTGAATCTCCTCTCCTCTAGAGTATTTATGCAATGACATATTGTTGGTTTCCTAAACGAAGTTGAGAAAGTGATGTGTGGATAACTAACCCAAAGTCAACTTTGGGCCAGTTTTATTGTAAAGATCAAGGTTATATAGCTAAAGTTTACTTGCTAGGGAAAGAGATGACCAGTAAGAACCAGTTAGTCTCTAGTAAATAAGCCCCCGTTATGAGACTGGATTTTCTAACTTATTACCTTTGAAAACCAGCACTTATCTTAAAGTTCAATCCTTCCTTATGACATTGTGCTTTCCCACCTTTTGTTCTCTCTAGCAATAGGGCCTTTACCCTTGGGCCTGACCTGAATATTTGTATTCATCTGTCAAAATTAAATCAGATATCCTATGGGAGAGCCACCAATGACTCCCTTGCGCCCATAAAAATGGAATAATCTCATTTTTTAAACATTTCCACTGTATATGTACATGTATCAATGTGTGTGCATTCTTTCCCATGGACTATTTGAAGAGAGTCCATATCTTAATTTTCTTGGACACTGAAAAGCTTTTTCTATGTCTGGAATAAAGAAGGTAAATAATAAATATTTGTTGTATAGGATAATTTGGTTCTTCCTGGGCAATAATACTGGATATTTGTAAGCTGCCATTAGAAGACAAACTGGACTATGATCATATTTCCTGAATGTAAGGATTCCACAAAGATTTGCATATCTGATAAAGAGAATGTAATCTTCTAATTATCATACATTTTCCAGAAAATCTAGTTGACATTTCCTAAAATAATAGCATCTCTCATTAATAAAACATATCAGTAAATGAGTTTTGATTCACCACATAAAAGATGACCGTTAATTCAGGTATTTTAAAGAAATCCAGATAAAAATGTATAATTTGATATTTTTCTAACACCTAATTATTTTTTAAGTTTATTAATTAATTTTTTTTTTGAGAGAGAGAGACAGCGTGAGCAGGGAAGGAAAGAGATAGAGGGAGAGAGATGATCCCAAGCAGGCTCCTACTGTCAGAGCAGAGCAACACAGGGCTTGAACTCAGGAAGCGTGACACCATGACCGGAGCCAAAATCAGGTGTCAGATGCTTAACTGATTGAGCTACGTAGGCATCCCTCTAACACTTAATTATTAACAAACACAATTTGAAAAAACTTCACTTAAATCCAGGTACTTGTAAACTTAAGTAACTCAGTATATTTCTTACGTGGAGATGAGCAGGAGCAAAGTCTAGCCTTGTCAACTCCCACCAGAGACAGAAAAATGAACGCTTTTATTCTGCTACAGGCTTTATCTGATTATTGTGAGACGGTTTCTCCCTCATTTTGTTGATTAGCCCTACTGACAGTAGCTCTGCTGTTTCTTTCCATCTCTCTCATGAGGCAGAACTGGATATATAATGCTTTTAACTTAAGTTTTCTTATTTGGAAAAATGGGGTAAAACAATTTGCAAAATACCCCTGCAATGCTTTGTAAGGAGATTTTTCATGAAATTAAATCCTGATCCTCTTTCCCCACGTCCTCGCCAACATTTGTTTGTGTTTTTGATTTCAGCCCTTCTGCAGGTGTGAAGTGATACTACATTGTGACTTTGATTTTCATTTCCCTGATGATTAGTGATGTTGAGCATTTTTGTGTGTCTTTTGGCCATTTGTACGTGTTCTTTGGAAAAATGTTTAGGTCTTCTGCCCATTTTTAAATTGTATTTTTTTTGGGGTGTTGAGTTGTATAAGTCCCTTATATATTTTGAATATTAACCCTTATCAGATATATTGTTTGCAAATATCTTCCCTCATTTAGTAGGTCATCTTTTTGTTTTACTGATGGTTTCCTTCACTGTGCAAAAGCTTTTTACTTTGGTATAGTCCCAGTAGCTTAATTTTGTTTTTGTTTTTGTGATGAGCACAGAGTAATGTATAGAATTGTTGAATCACTATATTATACACTTGAAACTGATATAACACTGTATGTTAATTATACTGGAATTTAAAAAAAAATAAACTCTGATTCTCAAAGGTCGAGAAGACCTCTACAGGAGAAAAATCTGGGCCTGAAGAATTGTTATTTATGCCTCTCATGCTTAAAAATATTCTCAAAGATTCTGAGAAGATGGTTACAGAAGTGAAAAAAAAATCTTTGGATATTCCAGTGCAAGAAGAGCAAAGACAGAGCAAAGACAAAGCAAAGACAGAGCAAAGACAAACTATGAACATATGGGGACCAGTGACTGAAGTTATAGGACCTGTGTGACATCAGCATCCAATAGGGGAAAGCAAAAGGTACAATGAGGCATCTGCCATACACAAGAACACCAAAATGGAAAACTAAACCTGAGCATAGGAGGATTTTGTACATTCTAGAAGCAGATGGCTAGAAAGGGGTTCATGGAGAGATTTTGGGCATTGATGTATTAA